ACTCGTCACAAAACACGCGGCGTACACGTCGAGTGGTAATAAAAGTACAGATTTTGTAATAGTGCAGTGTAAAAAGAAAAGCTGAGTAGTGGAAATTGTTCTATAATCACGGAGCTGTGACATAATGAGGTGGAGAAGGAGCTAGGAAGCACGGAGATGCCGTTTTAGGCCACGTTTCTGTACTGAGGACGTTTCGGAGACGGAAACACGCTGAAAACTGTATGGGGACGTTTCAGGAGTCTTTCGTGTTAATCATGGACAACAACCAATATTACGGACGTTTCGGAAATTTTTTAAAGTTAAAAGTAAGTGTCTTCAATGTGTTTATATGTATTTAACTTGGATTTTTCAAAAACAAAATATAAAGGAAAGAGAAAAGTATTAAAAAATTCACTTAGTTATGTCTATTCTACAAAGAAATCTAAGATTTTGTTTTAGTTAAGATATTAAACTATGTTTTTTTTTATATTTTGATTTATATGATACTTATTTTCTATATATATATATTTTTGTTTATACTATATTACCGTATTCGTTTTCTAAAATTTTTGGTTTTGCCGTTTTTCGTCCTTATTTCTATCGCCGTTTCTGTCTTTGTATCTGTTCCGGTGCAACTTAAAAAAGGAAAGGTTAATGGGTGCCACGTGGAGCTGTGACGGGAGACTAAGTCAATGCAGTGCATGTGTGGAAAAAAAACAGCTAAGTCTTGGCTGGCGCGTAAATGAAGAGAGAGAGAGGGACTGGGTCTTGTTTGATTCGTTCTCGTTTTTCTAGAAAGCTCAGGGACAAATTGCTGACATGTAATGTAATTTTTTTTTCTTTTAAAATAGAAACTTAGGAACAAAAAAATTTGTCAAAATACAAATAGGTAACAAACAAAACTAAATCTCAGAAGCCACTATGCCTCGGCACGGAACAAATATCCCAAAAAATTTAGGTATCCGTGATCTAATCTATTTAAAACGGATATTTATTTCTAATTAGATTCGATCGGTTAAATTTCGGATATCCAAACATTCAGATATTTTTATTTTTTATAGATATCTGCGAATATCCGATTCAATCCATGAAAATTTGAATATCTAAATTTTTCTAAGATATACGTAAATATCTATTCCGATCCGTTAAAATTTTAACA